TATATATATATATATATATATATATCAAATGGGGGTTCAGGAAAAATAGATTTCATGTTAAGAATCATTTTTATTTCATCATAGTTAAATGGGTTGAGACTCTTTTTAATTATCAATGGTAATAACTATCAATAGTCATATTTTTACTCACCAAATATGGGTTGACAAAATGACGGTTTGTCAGAATTTTTTATTTTTGTGATTTTTATTTTGTTCTTTTTCAATTTTTTGTTTGATTTCTGATTGTGTTTTGTTCTTACTTGCAGATTGTTTCTCGACGCTTTGGTTAGTACTTCGATCTCTGGTTTTTTGGATTCTCTCTCTCTCTCTCTCTCTCTCTCTCTCTTTATTCTCCTCATCAGTTTGTTCTCCAAACAAAAATTCAACATAAATTGCAGGTAATTTTCTTTGTTCCTTGCAAGATTTTGATGGAAAAGTTTGTCTTTGTTTTTATCTTTATTTGGCAACATTTTTAAATAGAAAAACATGTTTTTAATTGTTTTCAAAAAAATCTGCTCAAATTTGTTGTTTATGTTGATTTTGAATTGGATTGTTCAATCTTGCCAGGCCAGATTTCTTCAAGTTGTTTTTTGTTCACATCTATATTTATTTTGCTCACCAACTGTTCGGCATTTGGTCTGTGACATGTAGAAATGAATTGTTTAAGTATATATGGACCCCAAAGCATCTCTAGTTTGCTCACCAACTGTTTCACAATTGATTTGTGATACATAAGAATGATCTGCTGGAGCAATTTTAATTGTGTACTTTTGTGGATTTTTGTTAATTGTTTTTATTGATACTAATGTACTCGATAGTAATCTGCTGGAGCAATTTTCTTCTGGCAAGATTGATGTAGATGGTTGAGCAATTTTTGGCTGGCAATTTTAATCTGCTTGATAGTAATCTGTTGGAGCAATCTATTGATACTAATGCTCTGTTTGAAAATTGGTTTGTGATACATAGTAATTTGCTGAATTTTTGTGATGCATAGGTTTTTTTTAAGATGAACAAGTTCTGTACTTTTAAGTTGTTTGTGTTTTAAGATGAAAAGTTCTATTTTTGTTGAACAATTCAGCAGATTCGACCTTCATTTCATTACACTTTTGGCCACTTATGATTTCAAGGACAACGACACCGAAGCTATACGTATCAACCTTCTCAGACAACTGTCCATGGATGGCATATTCTGGTGCTGTATAACCCCTGTTGCATGAGAAAGTAGTTAGTTATCATTCAATGGTTTCAAATATTTTACTAGAAGTACTAGATTTGTTACATGAAAACATATCACTGGTTTAATTTCAATTAGGAATCAAAATAGCCTCTAATACAATCCATTATGTCACTCACAAAAATTACGGATGTATGTCACTCACAAAATAGCCTCAACATTGTTCTTTTAGGTATCTTTTCAAAGATATGGAATATCAGATATGCAAACCATTAAAAGATTTGAAACTCAACATTGAACATAGGGATTAATAAACTGAGAAATGGTTGGTTTCATGCTTACAAGGTCTCGAAAAATCTGGTGCTAAGATGACTTTGTTCCTCAGGTAGAAGCCTTGCCAATCCAAAATCAGCTATTTTGGGTTGGAAATCATCATCTAGTAGAATATTGCTGAATTATATTGCTAGTTTCTTCACTGCAATTATATTTCCATTTTTCAGAGTACCCTGTTCAATGACTTAAGGATGAAGTTGAGAATATAAATATGCAACATTCAATTTGTGAATCAAAAATTGTAATGAAACTGGTTGGGATTGTTTGTCTTATTTTTTGTTGAATTTGAATTGAAGGTTCACTTTAAGGATTAAACTAGGATTAGTAAGGGACCTATTTATACATCTTGTGGGATTATTTTAAAGGGCAAAAACTCAACTTTAACTTGTTGGATTCACAAAAGTGAAGTTATTCATTATCTTCATCATGAATATGCCAAGGCTCCTCTATTTGCTGTTGGAACTAGTATTGGTGCTAACATTCTGGTATGTTGTGATTGTTGGATCTTTTTCATACCTCATATATTTAAGTGTGATGTTCAAATTGAATTTAAAAAAAAAAAAAAATCTATTTCCCTGAACGTTGGCCACGATTAGTTCTGTTTCTGTTACTTGATAAATTTTAAGAGTTTGTTGTCAAGCTGTGTGAATTTACAGGGCATTTGTTGTTGTAAATTTAATTAATCTCACATTCTTTTCAACAAATTTGAGTAACACTGTCATCTGGATTTGTTTATATATAATCTTATAATTTGTTTTGGTGTGAAAGTCACAATTTGATAATTTGTTTTCTTTTGAAGCATTATATTTATTTTCTTGCAACTGAATTTGGCAACTCATTAGTTTTGGTGTATAGACTACAATATTATAGAGATTATTTTACAAAAAAATGGGTGGGCAATGCAGTGATAAGTAGATGTGAATGTAACTTATAATTCTATAATAAATTGTAGAGTGAAACTCCTTGTCATGGTGTATCTGTGATTGTAAATTCCTAGAAAATTGCTCTGCACATTATGACATTCAAATAGCTGGAACAAGCTTAGTTCTTTTTGTTTAAAGAATGTATACCCATTAGAATGCAATGATATACAATTATTTACTTGCTATTCTTGTCGTGTTTTTCATTTTGATTGTGAATATGTTGCCTATATTTTAATAATAGCTGCTATACCGAAGTAACAACTAAGTAATGGCAGATTTTATCCAACATTTTGCTTTACAGACTACCGACCTATCAAAGGGGGTTCCTTCTAGGAGCTATAATTAGAAGCAAAGATAGTAACGTTTTCAGGATGATAATTGTAGCTACCAATTTGTATAGAGAGCTCCAAAGATGAAGGTCAAAGTTCCGTATGACTGTAATGCAAAAACTTAGTCGAAAATGTCATAAACTTAGTCGAAAAAAAAGGGTTCAGGGGGCGAAAATGCAAAACAGCCCCCGAGCCACTATTTTTTCGTAACGGGAAGCTTCCTGGTGATAAATGTGACATGTAGGGATAGACGGTATGTAAGTAGGACACGTACGTTGGGAGTTAGGGTTGAAAATGTATTCGTTATTTGCTCTTCATTGTCTAATTGGAAAGCATAAAAAAAAGATGGATTCTCCAAAGATTTTTGTTGAAAGTATTGCAACACATTACCTACTTCCCCATACGCTAAACTTTTTTGTCTTTTGGTTCTCAAGTAATTTTTTTGATCTAATTTCATAAAACCAAGAGACTGTCGCCCTCCAGCTTCCCTACCCATCAGTTCAAAAGACTGCCCTAAACGAAGACCAGACTCTGAGGCTAAGTCTAACTCAATTGCTTGGGTATCTGATATCTTTCTTTGCGATGGCAACATATGGGCACAATCAAGAGATACAAGTTCATGGTTGTGTTTTTCTTTGAAATCAATCACAACAAATTTCCCACTATTGACATCCAATTTAACAAAAAGTCGGGCCTCATAACCAGTCCTAGTTTCAGCTCTAGGGGTTTTTGTCAATGGGTCTCGCTTGTCAACCTTCCGAAATCCCTCTTTGTTGCAAACCAAATTTCTAGAAATAATTTGTTTTGTTAACTTGTTCTTCTTACAATATTCCTTCTTATGCTAAATCCCATTATTCCTCCATATGCATTATAAAAATCGTACGCACTTTCTTCCGAATCAAAGGTCATTCCTACTTTTGGCTTCCAACCACAATCATTGTCAGGTTCCATATCCATATAAAAACGCAACTGAAAAGTAGAGGCAATCAAATGGGAGAACAATAATTAGAAACATTACTTAAATGAACTTATAGCTTCATTCAACCACAATCATTTTTTTTATTGTTCTTCATTACCTCCAATTACAAAGAAGTGCAGGTTTTGAATGAACTTATAGACAACAATATGTCAATGGTTTAGGTGATTTTTATATCTTCCTTGTATTAATCTGTTGTTTCAGGAGTCAAAAACTTAGGGAGATGGATTACAGAACATAATTCATTCTCTTGGTTATTGAGGTTAATGAAGTAGATAGTGGAAGTCTTGTGACATGTTCCACTCACAACAGAACAATGACAGCAAACAAATTCAAGCCTAACTAGTATCCTTCCTAACTAGTTAATGTATTGTTCCCATTAATTATTATCAAAACCTAACTAGTTTTAGATGAAATCATTGGCTAAGAGCTCTAGTGTTGTTTTTCTTTTTTTTGGCCTGAAACATGATTTTTTTTTTTTTTTTTATTAGGCTTATTTCCTGGCTTAACAAGAATTTGATATTGGATGTGTATCTTTGGGTGCTTAATGTTGGCTCAAGTTAGACCAATTTTCCTTTTTTTTTTTTTTTTCAATGCTAGCCTTCCTAGCTTTAAGTTTGTGATATTGTTCATGTGGGGTATTCAGGCCTGTGCTGAATGGAAGTATTATCAGGTTTTCGTCTTTAGACATTTAAATTTGTGAAGGGTTTCATCTTGTATTATTAATTACTTAACAAATCCTTCTGCAGACTTCGTAGTTTTTAGTGGCTAAATTGTCTACTATGCTATATGTTATGTTATGTTATCGGCTTTTGGGAAATTTGTGCATAGGTTAGAATCAATGATCTGTTGAGATTGAATTCCTAGAGTCTTAAACCAGGATCACTAGTTGAAAATGTAATGGACTTATTATTTGCAAACTCAGCGTGGAAAAGTTCTGGCCTAATCTAGCAGATTAGTCGAAAAACACTGTGAAACAGTTATGGAAATCATTTTCAGCTCCAGTTACTTATGATTACAAGATGAAGACAGCGGTGTAGTCTGTGTGCAGTGTCTTTGGGAGACATCAATTCTGGCTTCCTCCAAAGCAATGATCTTAAACCAAAGTTGATTCTGTAATTTTTTTCCACTCAACCAACTCTTTTATATTAGGCAATTAGATGAGTTATGAGTTTTCTTTTTTCCCCAAAGTAATTTACTTGTGTGATTTACTGATCTACAGATTGCAATATAGAAAAGAAGCATACAAAATCGGCAAGGCTGTTTTAATACAATGTACTAGGATCTCATAGCATTTGTTTAAACAAATTTAAGCAAATGAACAACACTAGAGCTCAGCCATGACAAACAATGTTCCTTAATGTTCCTTAAAAACATAATCAGTTTTTAATCATTTTTTTTACTCCACAGGAAGTTCCTTAATGTTTCTTAATAACAATGTTGCCCAGCCATGACAAAGATTACCTTCAGTTGATGACGAAATGGAGCTCTGGTTCGCCGGAGTTTGGTTCACCGTCGATGTTCACCGTTGATCGTTCAAGTTGATTTGCTGTCGACTTCGCCAATCGCCAGAGCTTGGAAGAAGGAGGGAAAACGAGCTTCGAAGAGGAGGGAAAATGGAATGGGAGGGAAGCTTTGTGCTGGCACCGCCGATCGTTCAAGTTGATTTGCCGTCGACTTCGTCAATCGCCAGAGCTTGGAAGAAGGAGGGAAACAGAGCTTCAAAGAGGAGGGAAAATGGAATGGGAGGGAAGCTTTGTGCTGGATCGTAAATCAGAAATTCAATTTTTTTTTTTTTTTTTTCTCAGCCAATCTTAAAGGGCCACGTGGCCAAATCGTGACCCTTGACCGGAGGACAGGAGGGAGCTTTGGCTGGAGAGGATCCTTACTCCCACCAATGGGTCAATTGTACGGCTTCAGATCGTCTGTCCCAGTTGTGTCCCAACTCCCTGTCCCCTTACTTCGGTGCTTACACGTGTCCATCACTAAAACTAATTCCTAACTCCGTTAATTCTCTCCTATCCTTCTCTCTCTCTCGAGTCATGATAGTCCGTTCTTTGTAACCTGAATCAAGTTGTCTCCTTTGTCATCATCTAATCCTCTTTAGATAGATAAATTAGATAACAATCACCAAACACAAATTTCAGCCGCACAAGAATTCTGTAACAATAATCCAAATTTTTCAAATATAACAAATCAAACTCAATAAATAAAATTAGCAATTTATGTTTGTGAGTAAATAGGGGGTCTACGAATAGGATAAAAAGAAAAGAGAAAAACTTGACTGGAGTATTGTATCTAAATATACATATATATGACTACATATCTATCACTCTCGCACTCTCTGTTCGGTGCAATTTCAGAGATCTGGTCCAATAATAGTTTTGATGTCAAATTCTGTGCAAGGCTCGATAGGTGAACGAGTTTCAGAGGACTACTTTTACAAAGGCAATGATGAAAATCCACAACATAAAACTCATCATTGAGATCTAGAAGAAATTTTTTTGACAATCTGATACTATTTTTACCAGGTCGTTTCGGCAGGTGAGCTAATTTTAGAGAAGCAACAGTAGTCTGAGCACCACATCCTGCATCAGGCAGGAAGCAA